TYWTTYMWAYTWWTTKCRWACGAKAWMTAAAWTCTATCTCGCGTATCTTATTGATTAACGAAAAACGATACCTATCGTAAATAATAAAAAAAGAAAATCAAATATAGATAGAAGTTAAAATTCCGATAATTGTCTGAAATTAATTAAAAATACGATTGACACATTTAAATCCCAAAAAGTAAATTGAAATATTTTGACTTCCCCTTCCTGTCTCCTAAATAATTCACGATAGAATATTTCTAATGTATTAATATTTGATAGGAAGATAAAAGAAAAAATTTAAATGATAGATCAAATATTTGTGCTTTTTTATTTTCGTCGCGAGATTATCGAATAAATTCCAGGAAGAGAAAATTAACTGATCGACTTATTTGAGGAATTCTCGGGATTGACGATTCACGAATGACGGACTCGAACGTTTCTGCTATATCGTCCTACCGCATGTACTCTCCTTATGGCCCCCATATACACCACACTGTCTCCTGTATTGAAATTCGATAAATTGATTCGTCCCACCATCTCATGTTATTGCGTTCCGTCCAGTGTGAGAACGAAATTGAGACCGGTTGGAAGTTGGAATACGACTACGACGAAGGCGGAGTCGCGTTCTTTATTCCATTCTCGCTTCCGAATACTCCCACTAGCCATGGGTCAAACTCTCTTATGTATATATTCATATGTGAACGTCTGTGTAAATGTATCCATGTTTTACATACACCTACGGACATTTTACGAGTTGATGGAAAAAGCTCGGACCGACCGTAGCCGCTTATTTCTTCGCTCTTTACACATAGATATCGAACTTCGATTTGACCCTAGAATTCTCCTATGTACTTTTCCATTTTCTACGAGAATCTTCTCTCTTTCTACCAATGAGGTAGCAAGCAAAATCAACTTGATTTTTATACAGGAAATTCGAACGACATTTACCATTGAAAATTGTGCACAAGCTTAGCCATCGTGAGAAGTCACGTCCAATGTAACGATACATTTGTACTACTTAACTTTTTTTTTACTGATATCTATATACATTTAAATATATATTTATCAGTTGCCTAACATTTCGTACTCTTTCTCCTCCCTTCCCTTAACATTTCATCAACCTAACGTGGAAAGCTTTAAGAGGTTCGTGCACGGTGGATGTATGAGAGATCGTTGTATAATAAAAACTCTATGTAACATTCTCTAACTCATAATTAGTCCAACCACAGTAGACCTCTTTGAAAGCATCCTTTTCAAATCCGAATTTTCTGTTTGCTCTCATTAACAAAGTTTCACAGTGCTTTGTCGAGTAAAAAAGCAATGCTCGTGATGTTCCAGCGTATTTCACATGAGCGCAATGAGGATTCAGCCAAAAGAAAATTTGAATATGAATCATACACGTATTTATGGTTTCCTATTTGTAGATAAACTTGGAAAAAGAATAATCGTTCACGATAGAAATGTCAAAATATTTCACTCAAAGTATATAAACATCAAACGGACTTTTTACTTTCTATCCCAAAAGTTTACCATTTCGTATGCAAACGTCGTAATCAAATATTTCGACGAACTATCTGAATTTCCTACTTTCCTAATCAAAACATTCACCAGTACACCAAAAGTAAATATCTCTAAATTAATTATAATGTCTATGTTGTATATATGTAGTTACATACATATCAAATGTAGAAATAACGAAAAGCATCAGCTAGAAATTCGCTCGAATGTTTTTCCATGATCGACACCACGAGTCAACCAATAACATGATCGCATCTTGCTTCGAACACCATTAACGGATTCCCACAGAGACCATACTGATCTCATAGTCCCTCTCACTCTCTCCCTTTCTCTCTCTCTCTCTCTCTCTCATCGTCGTATCTCTGTTGCAGGGGCCGTGCTGCACGTCGGCTTGTACTTTACGCAGCGGGGACAAGTGCAGGGACGACAACGGATGCAGGGACGCGAGCTTTTGCGACGGCCGAGGTCCCCAGTGTCCGCCATCCATCAACAAACCCAACAAGACCATATGCAACGAGGAGTTCGTCTGTTACATGGGGGTGAGAATACACGATTCTATCTCCGTCTCTCTCCACTTTCATACACATACACACATTTAGATACTGACATACATGTTGTGTAGAGTCACACAGACTCCTTTCGAGCATTCTCCAACCATCGAGACGAGAGAATACAAGCTCGCACACCACTTGGCTACTTCACTACTTCACTCTACTTGCATACTACTCTATTTCTCCTTTATGTATGCAACCATACACGTATATACTCGAACTCCTACACAGAAACACAAACACCCACCACCACCATCGAGCTCCGCGTTACCTAGTATTGATCTACAACCACGAATTTATGAACGCAGACGATTCCTGCCTTTGTCAAATCCCATCTGGACCGGTAGAGAGATTCCGTCTGTGAAACTTCCCTGAATGATCCATCGATCGATTTTTAGCAAAAATTGGAAAACTGTCGCTAGCTAACTGACGTTCTAGTCGTCTATTGCCATCTCGTTTTTATTTATCGAGTATTCCTCTCTTCAACGATTTTCACGAGTTTTTTTTTAATGTAATTAAATATTCACAATAGAAGTAAATTGTCCCCGATATCGTATCGCGTAAATCGAATGCATATTCTTCAACAATTTTCATGAAATAATACACGAAAAGAAGAGACGCGTCAGAATTTGGACATTTTTTTCGAATATATGGGAAATGGAAATGTAGAGAACATGTTTCTCGTCGTGAAATTACGATAGCCAAAGTTAATCCCGAATCTGTCAGGTCATACCTCTCATTCGTTTTGAATGAATGAATGAATGAATGAAGTTTGCTCGCTTTATCGCTATCATAGATAATAATACTCGAAATACCAACGAAATAGGCCAGTAATAAAAGAATATTAATAGAAATGAAATACATGAAAACAGAGCTATGGTGTTGATAGTAGTAGAACGCACAGAGCGCATTAATTACATGCCTATGAAGCTTTTGTTCTCTCTTTCTCTCTTTCTCTCTTTCTCTCTTTCTCTCTTTCTCTTAGTCGTGGATTGAATACGCGTATGGTAGAATAGCCGGTCGCTATTAATATAATAATTAATTCATACATCTCTCGAGCGTTTCGCTATGCACATACCATATATGTACGCCATTATATCGGCATGCGAATATTTCAGGTATAGAAATATCGACGGTGATTATCGCTTTGACGTCTGCTTTCCCTCGAGGTCGTGGTCACTTCGTTAGACTTGATGTATATATGTATTCCTCAATTAACACAACACGACCTCGAATACGAATAAACCAATCCATAGTTGAAACAAAAGCACATATTTGTTTCTCTCTTCACAATCAGACGTGTAAACGAAAGATGAATAAATATCAAATCAGTGTAAATATAAATGATAACATTTAAACGATCATTCCTTGTTCAAATAATTTCTACCTTTCCCAATTGGATCAATTTTTAATGTATACAGTGAATCATATGAGTGTTAGTACGTATCCGTTCTCATTTTAAATTTGAAATAATTAATATTTCCTTGTAATGCAAAACTTTACAAATTTTATACACAGAAATCTATTTTAGGACAATAAAATATGTTTCCGTGTATAAAAATATGAAATTATCGTTTACAAACGCTATCATTGTTTTGTTTCTTTTCATTTTCATTCGACAAATACAAAGTTATATTGTGAAATAAGATTGAATGATTTATTATCATCGGTAAACTGCAATTTAATTCAATTATCGAATTCCCCTTATATTAACGTAGAGATCATTTAGATTGTTCCGTTGCAAAGGTTCGTTCAACTGCATAAAAAAAAAAAAAAAAAGAATAATATCGCGATAAGGGACGAGGGATTTTTATGAACGTTCTTCACGACTATCTCAACGAGAATGCACCGCACTTACGGAATTGCCGCGGCGCGTCGAATTTACGATTCCCGGCAGAGCCGCTTCCTTAGCTAGTAACTTATTCATTGAGCTCTGTCTAGCATTTCCGTGATCGTACGTTCGTTGTAGTCATAATAGTAAGTATACGGTGTGTAAATTACGGTGCTAATAGAACCAAGGGGGAAAGAGGAGTTGGCTGAATAAGACCAGCACATGATAAATGAAGAAAAATTATATCGATTAGATTTATTTCAATACCATCATTCAGTGAAGAATCTTGAGAGAAGCTTTAATTAATGAAACATTTTTTAATAAAACTTTTTGCTTAAGGTGAACGAACTTTAAATATTCAATTTCAATTATACACGTAACGTCCTAATTTTCCATCAATTTATTTCCGAGATTATTACTAAATTTACGTGTTTTATAAAATGTTAATGAATTCGGTTAAAATAAATGGAGCGAGAGAAAGAAAAAAGAAAATAAAGGAAAGATCTTATCGCGAGAAGGAATGGATTAAAAGAAGGAAAAAATAAAAAAAAAACTGAAAAGGGGAGTAACGGAATCAAGATATCCGAGCGATTATTTCGTTTTAACTAACGGAACAAATAAGGGCCTCGGTGGTGGAACGAGCGCGATAAAATCTAACGCTCGAACTGCTTCCGTGTAACTTCTCGGCACGAATCGCAGAAGGGGAAAGTTTGGCCGTACCTACAGGTCGAGAAACAATCGCCATTACAACAGCACTCGCGCCAGCAACGTACAGAGTTACGAATTTCCGTAGGGCGAGATCGTTCGAGTTGCATCGAGGCCACCTTATCGACTCTACGTGACTTTAATAAAGATCAGTTCAAGGACTTTGAGTAGTCATTGACTATGTATATATAAATATATATATATATCTGCATCTCATATACGTATTATATGCATAAAGAACTTTAGTTAGTCTTGAAACAAAGAAAACTCATTAAGTTCCGTTCAATGTAATCGTTAAACAAATTTCAAATGTATAATCAAAATCCAATTTAGAGAAAAAGCTATATAAAGTATAGAGAAATACAATTTTATTCTTGACACGAAGATAGAAACGTCCCTTTCCCGTTCGATTCAGAGAACGTCGAATTCGGTGTGGAGTCGAGGATGCGACGTCGACGTCTCATTGTTGCCGACGGTGCGGAAACGCCAAAGCAAATTGCAAACTTTCGGGGACGTAGCGCGGCAGCTGACTTCTCTCCCTCTCTCACACTCTCTCACGCTCTCTCACGCTCTCTCATGCTCTCTCACGCTCTCTCTGTTAGCATCCATCGCCTCTCCACTTCTCTCGTCTCCTCTTTCGACCAACCGACCAACCGACGTTATTGTACTTGCAAATTAGAAACCGACTATTTCGGGAATATCGATTTCCACGGCTCGTACATACGAGAGAAAAGCCCTCTACCCTTTCCCTCCTCCTCCTCCTCCTCCTCCTCCTCCTTCCTTTTCCTCATTCTCCTCAACAGTCGACTTGCCTCTTCGCGTACCAATGTTTCCACTCGGCTGAATAGAATCGAATGTATCTGATCCTCGTTACCCGAAGTATCTATTCTCTCTTTCTCCTCGACGAAAAACAAATAGTAAGCTCGATTTTCCTACATCCCAACTACCTACGACAGTGTAGTAACATGCTCATTTGCCAGCTCGTATCTGTTTCTCTCTGTCTCTCTCTCTCTCTCTTTCACCTTATCTGTACTTCTCTTTTCGAATCAAACAAGGACCATTTAATTACCAATACGTCCTACTGTTCAATCAGATAAGCTTTCTTTGCAATTTGTCTACCATTCTCTAAGTAAATTGGTTCTAACTCCAAAATGTTATTTTACTTTTAAACAAACAGATATTTATCTGTATGGTAATCGAATATCGCGTGCTTGAAGAAATATTACAATAAATGAGGGTATTTTTATCATCCCATTGCCACATTATTGTCTATATCGTTGTAGTAGATAGAACGATAACGTCAATGAGAAGATGGCAAACGAAACAAAGCACGAACTCTTCGTCCTACATATGTATCATAATCGAGGAAAATGTTCAACCCTATAAACTATATATTTAACTGTCTACTACTCTCGTCACATTTAGTATCTCCCATGAATCAGTGTCCTTTTGAACTGAACGATAATTGTAAAGCAATGGTGGGAGTTTATCGGATTTTCCTATTGCTTTCAGGAATGCACTGGCAGCATTTGTCTGGCTTACGGTTTGGAATCCTGTCAATGTATCGCAGGACCAAAGGATCCACCAACCAAGAGCTGTGAACTCTGCTGTAAATTACCAGGAGAGAATAAAACATGCGTGTAAGAGAGATCATCACACAGTAGTATCTTGTCAATAGTTTCTACTTCGAGAACTTTTCCTTTGTGTTAATCTTGTTAATAAAAAAAACGGGAATATTACAAATTTATAATAATAATATAATATTGAAAATTTGCCAATTTATATCTTTCGATTTTTAACGATATAAACTAATTGTAAACTAAAACGATTTCTTATTTCCATTCTCTCGGTTAAATACTAATAGTTAACAACAAATATTAATAGTATCCTAACCGGAAGTTTCGTTACAGTAATATCAACTACTCGAGTTAACTAAATAGGTAACTTGAGCAACGAAAAAAAAAAAAAAATTGAAACGTTAAATAGTCACAAACTGTGTGAGAGAGAGACGATTACGACGACGAAGATGAAACGATTGAAATATATATAGATATATATCTACAGATGGAAAACGGGAAAGCGTTTTTCTCGGGCGTGTAAAAAAAGTTAAATTGAAGTCGGGCGTGTACAAACACTTCCTTCGATCAAAAGAGTGAGAGGAAGCTTTAAGAAAGTAAATTCTTTTCTCGTTCTTTGCAGATCGTCCTTCACTTGGAATTCAGCCCCTTACGATATACCGGACATGCTTTCAAAGCCTGGCACACCTTGCAACAACTACAATGGTTACTGCGACGTTTTTCAAAGATGCCGAGAGGTACATTCCCCTCCTTTTTATCGATTATAAAAATAGAAAATATAAGAGAGAAAAAACTTATGGATTTATTTACCTTACCTTTAAGACGAATGACTTACGTCGTATCATGTAAGTTATTTCCTTTTACACGCATAGGTTGATCCGAGTGGACCCTTGGCTACCTTGAGAAGACTTCTTCTATCCGATGCGAGTCTTGCTAACTTTCAACGATGGATCACCGAATGTTGGTTCATAGTTGCCTTGATGATTTTCCTTCCGCTATTATTACTGGTAAGACCTATAAGAAAGAATAATTGAAGCTGTAAATAATAACCCTTAATAATAAATAATCTATAATTTTGTGATTTTCTTGGTATTCCAGTGCGTTGTGACGTGGCTATTGTGCAAACGGCGAGTACCGCGTATGAAAATCCTTCCAATAGGTCAAGAAACTCGAGAAGATGGAACGTCGAATGATGGTAGAATACAATCGATGAACATTTCGGACATCAAAAAGCGTATAGTCGAGGCTATGAAAAGCATCGTCTCGCCGCGTGATAAGAGGAACGACGAGGAATCTTTGCGGGCGAGTACCTGTATCTCCAGGATTCTACGTCTTCTAGAAAAAGACGGTACTCGAGCGGTCGATCGTTCGGAAAAGCAGAGCTTGAACGAGATCGAAGAGGTAGAAGGTAAGAAGAGAAGAAGTAGAAGTGAAAAGAGACGAGAGAAAAGGAGAAAACAAATGGAAAAGGAAGAATTGGAGAAGAAAGAAAATAAGAGAACGCTCCTTCCTCGTGTCGAGTGCCAAGAGAGCGAGAGGAATATCGGACGATGGCGAAGAATCTCTTTTATTCTACCGGGAAGAACTATTCCTACCAACTTGACTTCCACTGGAGAAAACATGACAACAAACTCGTACGACATCGAACGAAAAGTTAGTCAAAATTCGATGAATTATCAAAGTGAATCATTGGTAGTGCCGGACACACCCGATACGCCGATCGATATGGTCGAAGGAAGAATACAAACGTCAGATTTGACAGTCCTCTTATCAGAAAGTTAGTCGTGGGATAGATTTGTTTTCTTCTATTCGACTTCTTGATTACATTATTGATGAACTACGAAGTCGGATACAGCTGGGTATTCCGAAGAGTTTGTAAATGTTGTATATAATCGTCGAATCGATAAGTATATTATATTCGTGTCGATCGTAGAAAAAAGCATCTAGAATTCGATATAAGAATGAAAATGATCGAATAATATGAAAGATATGAAAGATTCGTATTTTAATCGAGTATAGAAGCGGACCAATCGTAGAGGAGGTCGTCCCGAAGTTTAGTATTGATGTATGTATGCGTGTAGAAGAATGTATAAGTAATCTCGATCATTATTGTAAAAACAAAAATAAATCCTATGCTACTAATTCACTATAATCATACTTTTAATCATTTTTAACCATTCTAATTTATCTTCAATCTCTCTTCTTTTTTCCCGTTGATTCCGATCATCGTTCGATGTACAATGGTAACGCCATCTACGCATCCTTCGCTGTTTAACCTTTCGATCGATTATTCATTACTTCAAAATCCAATTCCAATGAAAATTATTCGAAATATCATGTTACGGCAATACGACGTTAATCAATAATAAAAAAAAAAAAAAAAAAAAGAATAAAAGAAAAAAAAATATTTCGGAAAAAAAAGTTGTTCGTGCAAGCGTACTTTTTTGTTCTGCCCGTTTGAATTCAATTTTGACCGCTCGAAATAAATGCTTCGCTAAACGAATACTATGTTCACTCTCGAGCACTCTCTCGAATATAATATTGCGAGGGAAGAAAGTTGATTCACTTGTAATGAGTTTTCGAGCAAAATAAAGTTTAAATCACGATCGAAACATAGTCGTGCAATAATTTCTATCTCTCTTTCTTCCTTCCTCCCTTTCTCTCTTCACCCTCTTCTTTACCCTCTCTTTCCTCCTTTTACTCTTTACAGGATGGTATAACTAACGATATTTTTCCTATAATTCGAAACATTATTGTAATTCTACAAAAGATACTTTACTTACAACAATTATCACGCATTATTATATCTTTTGTCTTGAATCACTTTACAATCACCATTTTAATGAAAAATCATCACTTCAAACAAATATGAATTCTCGGCTGTGTTCACGTTCTTTTGTTCAATTTTTTCGACGTATCTTATAAACTAATAAAAATATATTAAATTTCATTTTTCATTGGTTTAATTTTTAAATAGCATCTATAAGAACAATTGTTAACACTTTACCTACCGGTAACGGCTCAACATCCTTGTACACTTCTATTCAATGTTTGTTGGTTGCCATAGCAACCGATTAATCGGCTACCGATCGGTAAAGTAACATACCGCTAATTTTTGAGAAAATATTCGCGTATGCGCATAATAAACAGTCTTTCGCTTAATGCCTTTCGCCATAACATTCTTACAATTAATCTTTTTCTCAGCAATATAATACTACTACATATTTATTTGTTTTCAAATAATCTCTCCATTTCAACCTTTTGCTTTTTGCAATAGCATGGCTGTGTTATCACTTCGAAAACAAATATTAATATTTATATTGTCGATTTAATGATTTCCATAATATTACAAATTCTACGCATATTTACACGCATAACGGATTCCTTTTTTATTACTTTTAACTTTCACGATTATTCATCATTTATTTAGATTACTTTTATTATTATAACCAATTAAAATTCATTATAATCCTCTGTGTGTGTGTGGTGTGTGTGCGCGTGTGTGGAAATGAATGCTGCACTACGTTCAGTTTAGTACATGTGGCGCCATCTGCCGTAAATGTTATCAACATAAAAACAACTATCGATATGAAGTAGTTGGATTTCGATATATCGTATCGTGTCCACGTACATAGTTACTCATACACGCGTGGTGCCGTCATTAGCTTCTTACAAGTGAAATCACGTAACGCCTATATATGACACACAGTGCACATTGTGTGCGATAGAACTGTACTTGTAGTGGTAGTAGTGTAGTAACAACGATTGACTGAGTCTCTTGTACGAGTGGGAATTTGATAAAAGTATAGTAACAGTTTTGAAGCGGTTAAGATAGCGTGCTGTTTAACGTGGATTTTTACGTTCCTCGATTCATTTTTTCAATAAGGCAATGAAAGGATGAACACTTTCAAGTGTTTTGTGTTCGTCTTCGCTCTTGCGATTAATTCATTAACAAATGCATGTAAGTAACAATCGTTTATTATATGACCCAGCATGCGACATGTTTCAAGCGTGATTGCAATGACCAAGCCCACTTGAATATGGCGTTCGAGTTTACTTTATGACAGTACTATTCAACAAAGACAATTTTTCACCTTTCCTTTAATTTAAATAAATAATTGATATGAAATGAAATCTTGGAATTATGATATTTACATATGTCTGATTAAAATCTCTAGTCATTTAATTCTATGTGTTATTTTAAATAGGCTATGGTCGAAAGATTCGCGCAAGCGTGTACTAGATGTATATGTTGTTTATTTTATTATACTCATTTATAAACAAATTATTGAGAATACGTAACTCGTCATTCTAACATTTTTCCTACTAATTTTAGAATAACTAACCTAGTTTCAATAAATAAATGCAAATATTACGTTGTGATGTAATTGGAATGATTAATCTTTATGAGTAATCTCTTGTTAATGTCGATTATCTTTGATTTTTAGATGACTACGAATGTAATGTGCCTCTTTTGGATAAAGCCCATTTAACAGCAACTACATCTTTACCGGAGAGAGGAGCTAAAAATGCAAGACTCAATGGTATGATTTCATTTATTTATTTATACAAGTGTATATTTTTATGATTCCTCCTATATCTTAAGCTTTCATTAAATGGTGTGAGTTTATGTATTATTTCTTCTACAAAATGATCTCAATATTTGTATACTGCATAAAGTATATTAGCTTCTTGCTTGCCTAGCTATTATTAGTTAAATCTATCTTGCTATCATCTTCTGTTGCACACTACAATTGCTTTTATCTGTTGGTGACATTTCTATTATGTTCTTATATCTGAGAAAAGTATTAATTAATGAGTAAATTCCTAAGGCACGCCCAAATTAAGTATATCTTTCAAACACCCACGCTCAATTATGAGATATTTGAACTTTTTTCTGATTCGTATACAGGATATTCTATAACCGGCAATATAAACGAATAACGGATGATTTTACATAAAAATTACATAAAAGTTTTATATATTTAAATGTAATTGAAGAAAAATATATATAATATTAAGATTCCAAGTAATTTATATATTTGCTTCAGGTGGATACTAACAAAGAACAGTAATAACGCCACACAGTATATGTATTATAAATTTGATCAAAATTTCATTAAATGAAAAGATATAATATCAACATTGATAAAATGAGTCAGAGTGTTCGCTGGGCATTTAATTGGAAAGAATGGAATCCGAGTGAAAAAGAATTTTCACATGCAATTTCTTGTGTACAACTAGAAGAGAAGGAAAGATTAGATAGATTTGTTTTTCGTAAAGATGTTAAAGCTTCTCTTATAGGTAGATTATTAATGAGAAAGTTTGTCAATGAGTATGCACATATTCCATATGATAAAATAATATTTACAAGAGATAAAAATAACAAGCCTATTTTAAATACTTCTGAAATAAATATTAGCTTTAATGTTTCACATCAAGGATATTACAGTGTCTTAGCCGGTGAAGTTAAAAATGTATTATTAGGAGTAGATGTTATGAAATTAGAATATAGAGGCGGTAAGCAATTGTCTGAATTTTTTCGTATTATGAATAGAATCTTTTCATCTTCTGAATGGGAAGAAATCAAAGGTAATAAAACTTGCATGGAACAAATTGCTATGTTCTGTAGACACTGGGCTTTAAAAGAAAGCTTCGTTAAAGCTTTGGGAATAGGAATAGTTACAGATCTTGCAGCAATCGATTTTAAAACTAATTCTAAATTAATTCCTGGTAAATTGGTATGCGATACCATTCTACATTGGAAAGGTGATATACAAAATTGGTTATTCGAAGAATCATTATTAGATTCAGAACATTGTGTTGCCGTAGCTTTGCAAGAAAATGGAACAGCACCTAATTCACAAAATAAAATGTTCCAACTGTTAGACTATAATGAACTTGTAGCGAATGCTATACCAATGCATTCAGAAGATGAACAGTACGTAAAAAAATATTTTAATAAACGTGAAGAACCTTAAGTATCTTTGACAAACCTATACAATGATATTTTTCGATGTAAATCATTTTTGTTCTATGAAAAAATAAATTGATATCAAATAACTCATGTAATTTTATAACTTTCCTTCAAAACAAATGTTTGCTTTTGAATGTAAAGGTATTTATTTCTACTGGAATTCATTAAAATATATTGAAGAAAGTTTATTGATTAGTGGAGATACCATATCAATACACATCTGACATAATCTTGTTAATGAATATTAACCTACTTAAGTTAAAGATACGAAAACTTTAACTTATATAATGTATTATAATTTACTCACACACACATATATATATAACTTTAATTTAATTTATATATTCATAAACTAAAACAGAGATTACATCACAATATAATTTTGATATTCATAATGTAAATATTTGTAAGTAGATTATTTTGATATGTTAAAATATTTGAATATAGTCAAATACATTGCTTACATTTAAAGTTTATTTCTGATATGCTTTACACACATATTCAAAAAGTATTGATTTAAGAACAGTTAAATTCAAAGTATCAAGTATCTATTTACCTCTATTAGATATAATGCATTTTTAAGTACACTTTGAGTTGCATGCATGCATACATGTTGTGGCATAGGCGGAAACGCATGGACGGCTAGCAGTTCAGACTTTGGCCAATACCTGACTATTGACTTGGGTCAAGTAATGAATATCACGGCTGTGGCAACCCAAGGACGAGCTCATAAGAATGAGTATGTTATGGAATACGGTATCAGCTATGGTACCAATGGTCTTGATTATGTGGATTTTAAAGAAGAATCTGGTAATATCAAGGTAAGTTACTCATTCCCTGTGTAGTTTATTTTTATTTGATTTTAATAACATGAAATATATAATGATTTATATTTAATGTAGAAAATTAGCATGCGCATTGCTTAATAAGGAAACATTAAATTAACATTAGAATTTAACTATATTGTAGATAATTAATTTCTAATTAATTTCTAATTTCTTACTAATATTATTAATAACATTGACGTAATAAGAAAAATTCACTATAAATGTAAAAGGTAGGTTCTCAATGCATGCCCTAATAATTTATATTTGTATGCTGCTTATTGGTTCATAACATCTAATTAATGTTCATCACATGCATCATAATATCACAGTTAAATAATCATTTGGAAATTGATGGTAAGAATTCAATGTGATTTTCATAGAAATATAATTGCTGTAACAAGCGAATAATTCAACTAGAATTTGAATATCTTCACAGTATTATCAGCTGTACTATTAGTAATTAAATAATGCAATTATATTTCTATTGTTCTATTATTCTAGTTTCTATCATTTATTAAATGATATAATATATTATGAACAAAGAGTACTTATGAGAGAAAATATACACTCTTTATTATTATTGTTAAAAATAATTGTATATTTTGATAGTCGTTATAATCATCATTATCATATGTATCATATATCATTGATCTGCTTTGCTTTCACTCTACTTTTACATCCGAACACGGGGCTGGGCTTTACAGGGGATTCTGCGTGGTCACCAGAACTTAGCAGTTATGATCAACATCTTACTGTGGAACTGAGCGACAGGTACGAGATACGCAGCGTTGCGACACGGGGTCGCGCTCATACTAATGAATATGTGACAGAATATATTGTCCAATATTCTGACGATGGTCAAGCCTGGACTAGTTATGAAGGTCAAGATGGTGTAGATGAGGTATTGGATTAAACAACAACAACAACAACAAAACTAAAAGTCGAGATTTTGTTTTCTTTGAAAAATACAATACCCATATATTTGTTTTTCCGTAGGGTTTGATTAACATTTTTGGGTTGACAACATTTATTTCAAAACATGATGTTTATTTTATCAATATATTCCTGTAGATCTTTTCATTATTACTTTAATTAGTTATCATTATTCAATAAAATTTCTTATTTTTTTCTAATGAAAATTATTATTTATAATCTTTAAGTCTCTGGAGTGTTTCATTGCGCTTTAATGCTTTAATTAACAACTGGTATTCTAACAATACTAACAATATTTATATGCATGTTTTATCTGCTCATTATCGTTTATGAATATGATTATTGCATAAGTCAAATTTGATTGAATATTATGCATAATGTTACTATATTATATATATTTTATTTTTATTGTTCCTTGTTGATTTTATAAAAAAAAAAACTAGTTTATTTATCAATATATAATCAATATGATAAAATTTGACTAAAATGATAATATATTTTTGTAGATGTTCAAAGGAAATACAAATGGAGATACCATCAAACTTAATAAATTTGAAGTTCCAATAATTGCACAATGGATAAGAATAAATCCAACCAGATGGCGAGATAGAATATCATTAAGACTTGAATTATATGGATGTGACTATGGTAAATATTTAATTACAAAGTAATATACAAAGGACAATATGATATATACAGTTGCAATAATATTTCACTTTATATTTACAGAATCTGATGTATTATCATTTAATGGATCATCTCTGGTTCGTCTAGATCTGTTGAGAGAACCAATTGAAACCGATAGACACTCTATACGTTTTCGTTTTAAAACTAACTTTGCAGATGGTATATTAATGTATTCACGTGGTACGCAAGGAGATTTCATTGCATTGCAGTTACGCGACAATAGAATGTTATTGAATATAGATCTTGGATCTGGTGTTATGACAAGTTTATCGGTAGGAAGTCTTTTGGATGATAACATGTGGCATGATGTTGTTATATCAAGAAATAGAAAAAATATTTCTTTCTCCGTCGATAGGGTGTTAATAAAAGAAAGAATCAAAGGAGAATTTCATCGTCTAGATTTAAACAGAGCGGTAAGTTTGATGTGTATAAATGTATGTTATGTGTATGCACATAAACATACAGAATATTAATAATCATTTTTATTCTACTTTCACAGCTTTATATAGGTGGAGTACCTAACAAGCAAGAAGGTTTAGTAATAGGCCAAAATTTCACAGGATGTATAGAAAACTTTTATTTGAATACTACCAATATTATTCATGATTTAAAAGAAACTGAATACACCGGAGAAAATTTAAGATATCAGAAGGTTCATGCGCTTTACAATTGTCCTGAACCTCCTGTCATTCCCATATCATTTTTAACACCTGGATCTTATGCACGGCTCAAAGGTTATGAAGGAATTCAATCGTTGAACGTTTCACTTGGATTTCGAAGTTACGAGGATCGAGGAATAATCCTTTACCATAAATTTACATCTCCAGGACATGTTAAAGTTAGCATATTTAATATTTATTAATATATAATACATATACGTGTTGATTTATAAAAAAGATGACACTATAGTTAATAATTTTCAATATTTTCAGCTATTCTTAGAACAAGGCAAATTGAAAGTCGAAATCGAAACGGGAAAAAGTGCGAAAGTAATTTTAGATAATTTTGAAGGAAAATTTAATGATGGAAAGTGGCATCAAGTGATTTTAACAGTAGCACAAAATACTCTTATATTAAATGTTGATGATAGACCTATGAGAACTAAACGTCTTTTGGAAATGATAACTGGACCAATATATTGGGTTGGTGGTATGTCAGGAGAAGAAAGTAATCGTGGGTTTGTTGGTTGTATGAGAATGATAAGTATTGATGGAAATTATAAAATACCAACCGATTGGAAAGAAGAAGAATACTGTTGCAAAAATGAAGTTGTTTTTGATGCTTGTCAAATGGTTGATCGTTGTAATCCTAATCCTTGTAAACATTCTGGTATATGCAGTCAAAATTCAGATGAATTCTTTTGCGATTGTACTCATACTGGTTACTCAGGAGCTGTTTGTCATACTTGTAAGTACCTTATAGTAAATAAATAATTATTTGTATTATTACCTAATACTATAAATATTAAATAATAAAATATCTTTTTTCTACTCAGCACTATATCCCTTATCTTGCGAGGCGTATAAAAATATGAATTCGGTAAATCAAAGAGCAGAAATTAAAATTGATGTTGACGGAAGTGGACCATTAGCACCTTTTCCAGTAACTTGTGAATTTTTTACCGATGGACGAGTAATGACAGTTCTAAGGCATAGTAACGAATACCCAACGCCCGTTGATGGATTTGAAGAACCAGGCAGTTTTATTCAAGATATCAATTATGATGCTGATCTTGATCAAATAGAAGCTTTCTTAAATCGATCAACGCGATGTAGGCAAAGAATAAAATACGAATGTAAACACTCGAAATTGTTTAATACACCAGGTAAATATTAATTATTTCATTAATTAATAAAACATCATATGTTATCAGACTTAACATTATTCATATTAATTATTATTTATAGTTGGACAGAATGATTACTTTAAACCAAATTCATGGTGGGTAAGCAGACAAAATCAAAAAATGGATTATTGGGGTGGCGCTTTACCTGGTTCACGTAAATGCGAATGTGGAATACTTGGAAATTGTGCGGATCCGAATAAATGGTGTAACTGTGATGCTGACTTAGAAGGTAGACTCGAAGATAGCGGTGATATTACAGAGAAGGAATATCTTCCTGTGAAACAATTACGTTTCGGAGATACTGGAACAGCATTGGATGAAAAGGAAGGCAAATATACCTTGGGATCACTTATTTGTGAAGGAGATGGTACGTCAAAATGATATCATCTTTTTATACGTTTATTTTATCATTTTAGTTAATTCATTTTCAATTGTGTTTATAAGGATCTGAGTTACCTTGGTATTCTATTAAAGTAGGATCAGGTAAGAGTTAGGATAGTTAGAGTGGATTAGAAATAATTCAGATCAGTATTAATTGACGCATATAAGCTCTTTGACGTATTTATGTCTTTCTACAATAAGCTAGTTTATCATGTTGTGTAACCTATTGCTACAATATTCATTATAAACGTAAACTCTCTTGAACTTGTCATAATTATGTATTATTATTTTTGTTATAGATTTATTCAAGAATGTAGTAACATTTCGCATTGTTGATGCTACCATTAATCTACCTACTTTTGATATTGGCCATAGTGGGGATATTTATTTCGAATTCAAAACGACTATTGAAAATGCTGTAATTATTCATAGCAAGGGTCCTACAGATTATATCAAAGTTTCTATAAACGGTGGAAACCAGATACACTTTCAATATCAAGCAGGTGGTGGACCACTTGCTGTAAGTGTTGACACATCTTATAAATTAGCTGACAATCGATGGCATTCCGTTTCCGTTGAAAGAAATCGTAAAGAAGCTAGAATAGTTATTGATGGAGCTTTGAAGAACGAAGTTAGGGAACCTCCTGGACCAGTGCGGGCACTTCATCTTACTTCGGATTTGGTAATTGGGGCAACTGTTGATTATAGGGATGGCTTTGTAGGCTGTATAAGAGCTTTACTTTTAAATGGACAATTACAAGATATTAGAAGTTATGCAAGACGTGGACTGTATGGTGTTAGTGAAGATTGCGTAGGACGATGTGAGAGTAATCCGTGTCTTAACAATGGTACATGTCACGAAAAGTACAATGGATATTGGTGTGACTGTCGTTGGACTGCATTCAAAGGACCAATTTGTGCGGATGGTAAACTTTAATAAATTTTATACACACACACACACACACACATATATATATATATATATATATATTGATGATATATATATATATTTGATTTTTTATTTAAATATTTGTTTATTTTTGTCTACGTGTGTTTCAGAAATTGGCGTTAACATGCGTTCAAACTCAATGATAAAATACGACTTTATGGGCAGTTGGCGTTCTACAATTTCGGAAAAAATTAGAGTTGGTTTTACAACGACTAATCCCAAAGGATTCCTACTTGGTTTATTCTCCAATATTTCAGGAGAATATATGACAATTATGGTTTCTAACAGCGGTCATTTACGCGTAGTCTTTGACTTTGGTTTCGAACGACAAGAAGTAATATTTCCGTCGAAACATTTTGGTTTGGGCCAGTATCATGACGTTAGATTAAGTAGAAAAAATTCTGGATCAGTTCTCGTCTTGAAAGTTGATAATTATGAACCAAAAGAATTTCATTTTGATATTAAAACTTCGGCCGATGCTCAATTCAATAATATTCAATATATGTATATAGGTAAAAATGAATCTATGACTGAAGGGTTTGCAGGTTGTATATCTAGAGTCGAATTTGATGACATATATCCTCTAAAGTTACTATTTCAAGAGAATGGTCCAGGAAATATTAGATCTTTAAGTAATACACCGATTACGGAAGACTATTGCGGAGTAGAGCCAATAACGCATCCACCAAATATTGTTGAAACACGACCACCACCTGATGTAGACGAAAACAAAGTTAGAGCAGCTTATAATGAAACAGATACTGCAATTTTAGGAAGTGTATTAGCTGTTATTATTATAGCTTTAGTAATCATGGCAGTACTCATAGGAAGATACATGTCGAGGCATAAAGGTGAATATTTGACTCAAGAAGACAAAGGTGCAGAAATTGCATTAGATCCAGATTCAGCGGTTGTACATTCCACGACCGGTCATCAAGTTCAAAAGAAAAAAGAATGGTTTATATAAATTCTATAAAGAAATGAAAAATATAATTAATAACAAGTACACGTTTATCTTTGGATACATTATTAAGAGAACAAAAAAAGTATACATAGGAAGATGAGAGAGAGAGAGAGAGAGAGAGTTAGCGATTTGTACTTTGTTTCTCTATTCCCATGTAATTATAAAGTTAATGCTAAGTATTTGATATATAGTAGAAATGGCTGTCCTACCACTTCATACAGTTTATAAGATAAATCAACGAAAGCATTATAATAATCAATCTCTATTATTAATATTATTGAACAAGAATTTTCGGTTCAACGAGCTCAGAAAATAATGTAGAAATAATTGCCTTGATCAATTATAAACGCAAAACTACCTGAGAATCTCATTAGCGCAGGGAAAAACGAGCCATATTTATTTTATAATTGCGAACATATGATTATTTTCTAAAGTTATTAATGGCTCAATTATTTCACATAAATACTTGTATGACTTATAAGTATTTATACTGTAATTATAGATATATGAATATATTTATTAAATGTACATCTGGCATTATATAATTAGTCGAAAAATATCATTTTTAATTATTAAGCCAAATCAAATATAGCAGATATAATAATTCAATATTATTGATCCAGATTTTATTTTGTCATTTTTATATATCGTAACTTTTATATTCATTTGGAAACTAACTCAGAGACGTCGTTATTCAAATATTTTTTTGTTAATTTTCTTATGCCAGTACGATTTAAACAAGTTTTTGTCAATGTACAAAAGCTATTTTATTAGTTACGCATCTCTATTTCTTTAAATACTAACTCACAGTATTAGTTGTAATCTTTACCGTCCAAAGTGCATTTTTTTTTTATTTTTAATTTTATTTTTAATTTTAATTTTAATTTTAATTTTAATTTTAATTTTAATTTTGTTTTATTTTTATTCGTTAATTATATTTTTACAGATTTTTAGTTGACGTAACTTAAGATATATAAATCCACAATGATAACTTAATAATTAACTTAGTGTACTATTCTTAATATACTCAAGTATTACAATGGAAATGTATGTACATATGACATTTTTATATGAACAACTTTTATTATTTTTATCATTAAACTGTATTTGATAAAATGTAATTAGAACATGACATTATTGTCAAATAAAGGCGAACATACCGCAAAAAGTATCCGACAAATGACATCAATTTTATTCATATTTTTTCCCTTTTAAATTGTTTTACATTGATAATATATAATAATAGTTTTAAAAATTTAATATAAAATCAATAAAAAAAAAACAACTTTTTTTATAATATATTTTTCTTTTGTAATACTTACAAACGTGTTCATATAACAGTAAATTTAATAAAAAAATATTGATCTATCAACTGATGATGGTGTACATGTAGTAGAAAAACATTTTCATTGGTACAAAAATAATATTAATCTTCTTATAGATGTTAAGCAAAAATACTAAATTATAAAATTAATATATAAGAAGGAGATCTATTCTTAAATCATTTTTGTATATAATTTATCGACATAAATGGAAGTACGACAAAGAATAATTATTTTTACATATTTCTATGTAGGCAAGTAAAGTGCCAGCAATAAGAGAAAAACTTTGTACGTAAATGTCAAATTTACAAAAAAAATGTACTATATGAATATTCCATAATATTATTACATACAACACTGTTCATTTAAAATATAGTATGTAATACACATTTTGATAAGATTTGCTAAAAATATATATAAACATATATTCAAAAATATATATTATGTCAATTAATCATTAATACTAGAAACAACACTGTTGCTTGTCTCGGATGATGATTGTAATTTTGTCATATCAAGTAAATATTCTGAATCTAAATAAATAAAAAGAGAAAAGAAAGAAAATTAATGCAATATAGTAAAACATACACACACATATATATATATATATATATATATTTCTATGTATGGTATATAAAAAGAAATGAAATATTACCAGATTCATTATCGCTGAGTTCACGAGGTGATAATTTACATCCTTTTGCCAAATAATGTTTTAATTTACCAATACTGGCTAAAATTAATCCTAAGAAAGGAGGCGATGGTTTTAAGGGTCTGGACAAATATTCTGGATGAAATTGAGTAGCAACATAATAATGATTATCAAATAATTCTAATATTTCCATACGAACACTATTTTCATCTGTACCTAATATATAAAATTGATATTTGTTGAGTATTTAAATGAAGTATATTATAAAATATAATAATGATTATTTAGATTAACTTACCCACGAATTTTAATCCAGCTTCCTCTAATATATTAATGTATTGTGGATTTACTTCGTACCTATGTCTATGTCTTTCTTCAATACAATCTTTGTTTCCATACAATTGTCCTATTATTAAATTATATAAATATTATTATTCAATGAAGTTAAGAATAAGTTAATCATAATGATAGACTTGATTGAACTTACTTAAAATCGAATTTTCACCAAACTTAAAATAAGTACTTCTTTTTCCAAGTCTCATAGTTCCACCCATCTGACCTGGATTATGCTCTGGCATGTCTATTATAAATGGATCAGTTGTATTTGCGTCAATTTCTGTACTATTAGCCGTTTGAATATCTAGAACGTTTCTTGCAAATTCTATAACTGCGACTTGCAAACCCAAACAAATTCCTAAAAATGGTACATCATTTGTTCTGCACCATTTACATGCTTCTATTTTTCCTTCTATGCCTCTTTTACCAAAACCACCAGGAACTACCACACCACTGTTAAGTTTAAAAGTTTATAGAATATTTTGTATTATATTATTCTTATATTTGAAGAAAAAACACGATAAACAATTGTAATCTTACTTGCTTTTGCAAAGCTTTTGCCAAGTTTCATGATATAAAACAGGGTTATCTAATTTGGTAGAATTTTCTAGATTAGCAGCTTCTATAAACTAAAATAATGATGATTTATTTAGAAAAATATATAAGAGATAGAAAGAGCACGTGACAAGAAAACAAAAAAAAACTACTTTACCGTTAAATTTAAACGATAGCCAACTTGCACAGAAGCATGTTGTAATGCTTTTATAACAGAGGCATATGAGTCTTCTAATTTGGTATATTTGCCTACTAAAGCAATATTAACATCTTTTCTTAAATGATCAATTCGATCAGCCAGATCTTTCCACTTACGCATAAAATAACGTGGACGTGGCATAATATTTAATTGTAATCTATCGCTAAGGAATTCTATAACACCTTGACTTTCCATAAGAAGAGGTACGCGATAAATGGATGACAAATCATGGATAGTAATAACCTGTGAAGAAATGATTTTACTTATTTTTTATATGTCTACTCATACTTAATATATTTATTTAAAAAAAAGAAAAAGAAGACAAAATGATTACTTGATCTGGCTGTACATGACAAAAACTTGAGATCTTATCTTTGATTGCATTGCCTATTGGTTTTTCAGATCGACAAACTATTAGATCAGGAGATAATCCTAAACCACGCAATTCTCTTACACTCGACTGAGTTGGTTTAGTCTTTGATTCTCCAGTACATTGTGGCTAAAATGAATAACATTCTGTTATTGATTAAATAATTATTCATTTTTTTAATTAAATATTAACTCATTTATTGTTATATCAAAATTATTTACGACGTCATTACTAATCCAAAAATAATACTATTTGGTATTTTGGCGCAAGTTCAAGGATATGTTCAAGTGATATGTTAAAAAAAAGAAAAAGAAAAAAAGAAAATCATTTTAAATCAAGTTCTTATAGTACCTGTGGAACTAATGAAACATGAGCGCAACAAAAGTTTTCCCTTTTAACTTTGAATTGAAATTGCCTAAAAGCTTCTACAAATGGCATCCCTTCAATATCACCAATTGTTCCACCCAATTCAACGATACATACCTAAAATATAATAAAGAAAATGTAAAATGGTATCCTGTAACTAAATACTAAAGACAAATATTTGATAAATATTAATTACGTCTGGTTTATCACCACCTTCCGATACTGATTTATGGGCAACTTCTTCAACCCATTCTTGAATAGCATCAGTAATGTGTGGAACAACTAAAATGAACATTTCATATTATTTATAAACTTGTTTAATTGATCTTACAAATATAATAAGAAATTTCTCTTTGTATGTACCTTGTACTGTTTTGCCCAAGTAATCGCCTTTTCTTTCTTTGTTAATAACATGTTGATAAATTTTTCCTGTAGTAATATTATTTTCCTTGTGCAATATAATATCTAAAAAACGTTCATAATTTCCCAAATCTAAATCTACCTCTCCGCCATCGTCAAGAACGTAAACTTCTCCTGTAAATGAAACATCATTGCATATATTAGTTTTATTCTTGGTAACAACGCTTGACATAGGACACCAATGGTAAAACAATGGAAGAATTACTGATATTCGTAATCAAAATCGATAAACAAGTCTCTGTTACGAAACAATCACAAGGAAATGAAATTAAAGAAAGTCAAAGTAGCAAGAAACATTACTCCATAAACATCATTCAAATGAAACTTTAAATTAAGAAAAAAAAACATGTAGATTAATATTTAAAATAATTCACAACACACATTCTCTCTATTATATTTCAATGTATTTCAACGAAATTGATAATACCTAGATCGAGTAATTAAAAATAATGAAAATAAAGTAAACATCAAAATGACTAAAATACATCATACATTAAAGATTAATAAAAAAAAAAAAAAAAAAAAATAAAATAGACAAAATTCAAACTATTGATACAATCCATTTAATTTATCGCAATTTAAATGCAGTGCCTTGAATACGTGAAATTAACGCGGTAAAAGAAGTTATTTAAATGTTTAAGGAAAAAATAGATACAAACAAAATACAAGTTTAATGAAAAAGCACGTGGTCATGGGAACAAAGGCGGGTAAAATAATACAATATGGCTACCAACAGACCACATGTTTCCTACTTAATAAAACTTATACAAATAAAGAATCTATCAATGAATATTGCAAAGATATGAGAACAAAAGTGGACAACGAATAAAAATAAAGTTAGCTTGTTTTATTTTTTTTACCATGCTCGTACGGTGAAAAAGTTCCAGCATCTATATTTATGTATGGATCTATTTTGATAGAAGTCACTTGAATACCGCAATGTTTCAATATTGTGCCAAACGAACTTGCTATAACACCCTTTCCTACACCACTAATAACACCACCAGTGACTAAAATATATTTCATTGTTTTGAATTATAATTAAATTTCTTATTTATTTAACAGAATGTTCATTAAATAATCACACAAAAACACCACACACACAAAACTTTAAACCGGCTGATTACATTGACCAACAGTATATACCGGCGGCAGCATGAGCTTTGGTCTGCTCTTAATGATCCGATTTTTTTAACTCTTGTAGAAACCAACGGAAAGTCGTTAATACTTTAGTCTCGAAGCATTATCGATACCTCGCAAAGGTCGATAAAACTTTTTATTGGCGCGCATACGCATTACTTATAAATGGTCTACGATTACTCATCAAATTTTCTTCTTTTTATTCAGTATTTACATTTATTTTCTATTTACATATTTGTAAATTATTCCACGTAATTATAATCTTTCAAAATAAATACAATAATTAAATAGAATTCTATAGATTAGTTTATACGAAAACATCAGTAATAAATGAAGTAATTTTTACTTTGTTTTGTTTTTTTTTTTTCATTAAGAATTCTTATAAAGTGAATGTGATTTTGATCTATTTTGAAAATACATTGAAGATTTTGATCTTGAAACATTGGAAATATTAGGAATAGCTTTGTTTTCATTTGCAATGGCTAAAAGTTTAACAGCAAAAATTGGACCTTCAATTTTGAATGCTAATTTAGCACAATTATCTGAGGAATCGCAACGTTTGTTAAATAATGGTGCAGATTATCTTCATTTGGATGTAATGGATGGTCATTTCGTTCCTAACCTTACTTTTGGTCATCCTCTTGTAAAATGTCTTCGTAGTAATATAAAGGATGCATTTTTTGAAACACATATGATGGTTTCTAATCCGGAACAGGTATTCATTTATGTATATTCGTTACATTTTCATGTATTCATCTCTTGAATGTATAATAATGCTATTTTTGTAATAACAATGAAATGTTTCAGTGGATCGAACCGATGGCCGATGCTGGTGTGAATCAATATACATTTCACGTAGAACCAGTAAAAGATGTTCCATCAGTTTGTAGGAAAGTTAGAGAAGCAGAAATGAAGGTAAATGTTTTGTAATACTTCTTATGCGATATCTGATTTATGCATGATAGATAAATTATTTTTTCTAAAGGTAGGGGTAGCACTTAAGCCAGGTACGCCAGCAGATGTAATTGTTGATTATGTTGATTTAGCTGATATGATATTAGTTATGACAGTCGAACCAGGATTTGGAGGACAAAAATTTATGGAGTCAATGATGCCAAAAGTAGCATGGCTTAGAAAGAATTATCCTACTCTAGATATTGAAGTTGATGGCGGAGTTGGTCCAGCTACTATAGAAGCTTGCGCACAGGTATCTTGAAAAATATTCTATTGTATTTTTAGTTATGATAAAGCTTTAACATTCATTTCTGTCTAGGCTGGTGCAAATATGATAGTATCTGGAACAGCGGTAATTGGTGCTACCGACCAGGCAAAAGTTATAAGAGATTTAAAACATGCTGTTAATTGTGTATTGAATAACTAATATGATATTATGGACAAATATTGTCAACATTTAAAGAAGGAAACAATAGGAAAACCAAATTTTATTAATAACATTTTGTAAATATATTTTATAAACGACACTTTAATGAAATAATGAAAACATTTCGCATATTACATTTTGTTACAACTATAATATAAATATCAATGTTATTCAATCTTTAGCAAAGCTATCAAATTGAGCATTTGGTAGTACAGGATTTTTTGGGAGTAATTTAGTTCTCAGTTCTGCAAGAGAAAGTAAAAGAGCTTCTTCTGTTCTAATAGTTCTCGATCCTTGTTGGGGACATACATTTAAATATTTATGAAACACAGATGATGGATCTTCATTTGGCAAATACGGATCAACTTCTAGTGCAGTTTCTAATCCTGATAATCCTCCAAAAACTATTAAAGCGTGGTCATACTTTAAACTTTTTTCTGGTATATCATCAATGGATGTTCCTTTATCAGAAGTACCAATAGTCAAATCGTATCCTTCCTTATAAGAACATTTTGTAAACACTTCTGACAGATTCTTAGCTAATTTAACATTGTATCCCCAATATATTCCTGTCTCTAATTTTGGCTCTGTCGGAGATACTATTATTCCTTTCATTTTCTTCGGATTTGGTTGTTCTGGTGGTATTTTAACGGTAACTCTTAATCCAGGCATCAATTCTTTATCCACTCTAACATCGTTGAGAAGTCCTACATTCACATGGGAACCTTTCCCAGGTTTCACTGGTTTATTACTAACTACACCCTCACGGTAAAGCGATATATCTTGTTGTCTGAGGTGATGGGGAGCATCCAAAGGATTCAATAAACCCGCATACTGTAAATCCTTATGGATTGGGAAGAAATGTTTCCTCAGATATTGTGGACACTCCAAGTATTGTAATATTCTGACTAATTGTAAACAACAAATTCTCCCTTCGCCTAGAATATCGTCTACTCTAATTTTCTTCTTCTCATTTTCAGTGATCTCACCTTTGTCATCAAAAACAACTATCTCATCAACTTTGTAAATACATGCTGCACGTGCTATTTGTCCTGCAAGATATGTTCTCAATTCAACAGATTGTGCATTATCTAAAATAGAGCCAGGTACTGCAATAGTTATCGTAGAAGCATTATTTATGTTAACTTTCTTTTCAGTATCTTCTTTTTTCGTCTCATTTTCAATTTCATTTTTCTTTTCTTCTTTTTTTAATTTTTTTATTAACCTCTCCTCTTTCCATTGCTTTCTATGTTCTTTTTGCAATCGATTATATTCTTTCCAATTTTGTACTTGTGATATTTCCGGCTTATTATTTGGATCTGACATTATTTTCACAATAAATAATATTACATTAAATAGAAAACAAAACACAATACGGAGTTTAAATATATAAACAAATGTGCGCGAAATGGGTTTATTAGGTTTTGTTTTTTTAGGTTAGAAAATTTCTTCTTAAAATTCACGGTATTTAATAACACAGTATCGTGCACTTTTCCTTCAATGTGTAGACAGCATAATATATGTATAATAAATTCATGTAAAAATATTTTTAAAATGAATGTGGATCTTACGCGAATGTTGCTTAATTAAACAAATTAAAACAAAAGAATAATTTTTTTAGATGCTAGGGACTTTCCGCTTGATCCTTACAATATTAATAAGGTTAGTTGGTAAACACTTTGACATTAATTGGTACATCATAGAGTGTTTACTTGTTTAGACGTAGTGATTGTGAATAACTGTCAATAATCATATAATTTTATTATTAAATATAATTTATATAAATTTATAATAATAATACATAAAATATTTAGAAATAAATTAAAGTAGGATAAAAAGAGGTTATGTCTGCGGAAGAAAATTTCGAACAGGTAAATTTGAATAACCTCTAACTTAACTTCATTCAATTATAACTTATTATTAAAAGCTTCCATTGGATAATAGTTAAGCTATTAACACAATTGTATTAATATGTGTATCAGTTCGAAGATGAAGAGGCTGAAATTGCTATCGGTGGTACATTACCAGGAGGTAGGAAACGTCTATTTTCAAAAGAACTTCGTTGTATGATGTATGGCTTTGGGGATGATCAAAATCCTTATACCGAGAGTGTTGATCTGCTCGAAGACCTGGTCATTGAATTTATAACAGAAATGACTCATAGAGCTATGGAAATTGGACGTACTGGACGTGTACAAGTAGAAGATATTGTTTTCTTAGGTATGTTTCAAATGAGAGAGAAAATATTTCGACTAAGAAAGTATTTCATGTCTGTACATCTTTGTTTATTTAGTTAGGAAAGATTCACGCAAGTATGCCAGAGTGAAAGATCTCCTAACGATGAATGAAGAATTAAAGAAAGCAAGAAAAGCATTTGATGAAGTTAAATATGCAGGTACTGTTAATCAGTAGAGTTATCTTTGCATTTCATGGTATTTCATTTCATTTATGCAATCTATGTGATTATCCATTATATGGTTTTTTTTTTTTTTTTTTTTTTTTTTTTATTAAAACAATGAGAATACCACAGATAGCGGGTATATAACAAAATGTTTTAAATTCATATAGATTGCAAGTAATTAAGCTTAAGCATAATAAGTATTATAGCAAGATTATGTTTGAGTTTTCCTATAACATTGTTTGGTTTATGCAATTATTCTTAACATGTTTACTATTGCAACAGAACTTATTTGTCGTCATTCTTATTAGTGTCACAAATGTGTGACGTTGTGCTTTCAATCACAACGCTGTGAAAATCGTTGTGTCACTGGTAGTGAATGTGTTAATGAGCTTCAAAATGTAGATTATTGATTTTTTTTTTTCATTTTTTTAATTTGTTTTTTTATGAATAATTTTTTTGAGATGGAAAAAGTTGACGTATCAAAAGTATGTGATATTAAACATTATATGAATCATTTGCAGATCAAATCATTGATGCTTCATTTTTCATATTTAAAATACATTTTGTTAATAATGAGCTTAATGCCATTAAGTGTTATATATATATAATATATATGCAACTTATCAATTCTCAATCAATTTGGTACATGAGCAGCTCATATAGTAATCTTTATAATACAAATGTTTTATCTTTTGATTTTTGCATGTTACTCTGCATGTCTTAAGCATGTCCATGCTTTTTATGTTTACATTCCATAAACATGCAAAGATTGGACATTTTTTAGTTATTATTCAAGGGAGAAAAGTTCAATTTAAAAGAATAAAAAAGTATTATTATTTGCATTTATTATGCTTTTCAATATTTATATTATTTTCTAAATAATCTCACACACAAATGAAATTTTTATTATACGATTTATTAGTCATATAATAAATGTATTATGTTTCTATATTTTATTTCGTTAGGTAGTTAATGCATAAGAAACGCACATGTACATAAAGTATAAGGTATTGTTATTATTTGCTGTAATAAATTGTTTGTAAATTTGATTGATTATTTATTTGATTAGAGGTATTATTACTTTTGTTTATTTATTATTTACACAAATAGATCTTGTTTTAAAAGGCTTTTTCAAATTAGCTTATAAAATAATGCATGTATATTTTAAAATTAAGTTTTTTGTTTGTTCAAAAGTAAGACGCTCGTAACGTGACTAGTGCTAGAAAGAATGCTGTACAAAATGACTACAGTTTCATCTTAATGTTCATTTAAATGTTGCATAATATCAGAAACAGCTTCTTTTGCTGACAGAATAACGTCATTGATTCCGACACCTTGATAAGAAGAACCACACAATGCTAGAGGGATTCTGCGTGAAGAAATATAATCACGGATATGATTTAAACGTTGTGAGTGACCCACTACGTGTTGAGGAATACAATCTTTTAGAATGGCCACGTTAAACGTTATCGGATCTTCTTTAATATTCAGGATTTCTTTAACTTGTTTAATTGCTATATTCAACAAATTTTCATCCGTTGGATTTCTGCCAAAGTATTTTTCAAACCATGCACCACCCATCATTACTGTTAGTACCTGGTTATTAAATATTTTATTACATGTAAATACAGAATTGAACAATTGTCTAGTCTAATATAGATTTATAAATATAGATAAAATTTTCCACTAATTTTTATACATTTCAAAATTCTTCATCTGATATTCAATAAAAAAAAAAGTAAAGAAAGTAATGTTAAAAATGTAATTACTGCTAAATCTAATGTTCGTGTAAATAAAATTTTATCTATCTTTTTTTTACATACCGTTGAAGAATCTTTAGGAAAAATACATGAGTCAAAAATCACGCCAAGAATTGGAAGATTTTCTCCTGGTGGAACAAGAAAACCAAAAGCATTCATAGGCAATACGTTATCTGCAAATTGAAGATTAACTACAGCCACCGTGACCATAGGTATTGCCTTCAATTCTTTTGCTAAATCCGGATGTTGTTCCTCCAACAATTTAGCTAATGTTTTTGCTGGTAGACTTGAAATTATTTGCGAACACTTTCTTACTTTTCCATTAATAGTTAATTCAACATGATCTGATTGAAAAAGAATTTTTTCGCAGTAACTATTTAATTGTATATCGACGCCTCGAGTCATTAAATTATTTCCTAGAGAACGTGGTAGTTCTTCGAGTCCTCCTTTTAAACCCCACACTACCCATTTTTGCATGTCAGCCATTTTAGCCAAGTCAGATATATATTCTGTCTTATTGTCATCTTTCTTTTTAAGAAATTGTTTGTATAAACCTTTTATTATAGATCCATGTTTTTGTTCCGCCTCAAACAAAGATTTCATTAAAAATTTAACGCTTATCTTCTGTGCATCGCCAGCACATATTCCACAAATCATAGGGCTAACAAGATAATCGGCCATATCTTTTCCAAATCTTCTTTCAACAAAACTGTATATACTTTCATCATCCTTACGAATCATTGGTGCTCTCAAGTCTTTAGCAAGAAAACTTATTAAAGGACGATTAAATAATGAATTAGTCTTAATTGTATTAAGCAAAGAATTTGGCAATAAGTGTAACTTATTACGTGAATAAATCATTCTATTTTTTGCACTAGGGTGATCTGATTTAATAGGAATAAGTTTATCAGCTAATTTTAAATCCTCCAATAAATTTAATGTATTTTTTCCAGCTGATCCTAAACATCTTATGGTCCTTGGTCCTTTTTCAAATATGATCCCATTTGATGATTCATGACTTCGTATCCAACCTCCTAAACGATTAGATGCTTCCAACAATGTTATTGGATTAATTTTTGGATTGTTTAATGCATAATATGCAGCTGATAAGCCTGATATACCTCCACCAAGTACTACTGTCATTTTGATATAAGTGCACGGTAAAAAAAACAATCATTTAAATGCATTCAATATAAGGTTAGATTACCAATGATAAATCTTTCATTTTCTTTACGACACATAACCTAGTCATTTTATTATGTTACATATTTTTATTCTAAAGGATATTTATAAAATGATAAAATTTATCATATATATATATATCTTGTGTAATATTTTTATATTACAATTGTAACTTGTAAAAACAATAATATATCGAAATAACTTATCAAAAACTAGTTTATTCTGATTGGTTGAATTCACAAGTATATATCGTTTTCTATTGGATAAGAATGATCTCTTATTTCGATTCGAGAATCGAACCAATCAATTTTAAGTTCGATTTCAAAGTTATAATGGTTTCAATATTGTTGAATGATTTTTGTATTTTAACAAAATTTAATGTATTTAATTAATAACATTCATAATTATCATTGATAAAAAATATATTTGATTGTCTTATCTAAGGTTTAAATATTAAGGTTTATTTGAAGCATCGTGTATTAATGAATAAAAGGTTCAATCTGAACATTGAGCTTTCGATCTTGTATAAATATTACTCGTTGAAAAATTACAATGTATATTAAATAAAAAGAAATATAAATTTCGTCATGTCGTCTTGGAAAATAATTGATTTATATTGCGTTTGTATAATAAAAATATTGGTTAAAATTAAGGATGCATGAAATTTACAGTTCATTTGATTTTCATTAGCGTCATGCCGAGAAACTATATTTGTATACAAAAATCAATCAATTCGCGGATAGCTTTCGAAGACGCAACACGATAAAGTGGAAAAGAAATTTGTAATTATGTTAGTGATCAAATAACAACATCAAGTACGTATTTAACATACATGTGTACTGTTCTGAAAAGTCGATAATTCGGTGGTTGGAGATATTGTTATGAAACGAAAATTGTAAGGATTCTTTGCAACTAATGGTTTATATATATTGTACAGTTTGAAGCCTTGTCGGTGACTCAAACGGAAGTCTTTTTCCTTAATTAAAGTTCAGCATATATTTGAATATATTTATTTGGTATAGATCTCACATATATCTTTCAAATTTTGAAGTTATGGAGAATGGAAGCAAGTTGTTAACAGTTCTTTTAAAAGTATCGGAAAAAGCTGCTAATATTGCTAGAATATGTAGACAAAATCAATCATTGTTTGACCTTCTGGTTCAAGAAAAATCACAGGCAGAGAAAAATCCAATCTTTAGAGATTTTAAAACTTTGGCCGACGTTTTGATTCAAGAAACTATTAAGCATGATATAGCATTAGAGGTAAGTCGATTAGATATATTTTACATGTGAATATTGTAATAGGATAAAGTTAAAAGAATAGATTAATATATGATTTATGTAAAAGTACGTAAATAGAAAGTTTTGCAGAAATCGTTAGTTTCCAGAGTTAGCGAAGGTTGTACAAGGCGAAGAAAACAATACGTTTACCAATGCACTTGGAGAGACAATAGTTGTGGAAGTATGTTCCACTTGTTTGGAAACAACTAATCTATTAGCCAAAGTCATGGGTAATGATACAGAAACAGCTATTTTTCTTGCGGAAGAAGTTCATAAGGAAATTCGATTGAAAGATGTGAATACTGTGCATGATATTCCTAAAGATTTACCTCTACCTATAGAAGATCTTGGTATATGGATAGATCCAATAGGTAAGGATTTATTAACAATGCTCATTATACATGCAATATAGATGAAAATAATTAATAACATTGTTGTGTGTAGATGCTACTGGAGAGTACGTGAATTCTGATGTAAGCAAAATAAAAGGATTAAATTGTGTTACAGTATTAATAGGTGTATACCTTAAAAGTACAGGATTACCAGTGTTAGGTATCATAAATAAACCATTTGATAAGTTACATGATAATCAAAAGTGAGTAGATCATTGCAGAAGAATGTTGATTTCTTCGAAATAATACGCATACAAAATTGTAAATTTATTTACGCATAAATTTTAGCAGGTGGAACGGTTTGTGTTATTGGGGATATTTTAATACCGATACTAGCTTATGTTGCTCAAGCATTGGTAGGAGTTTTCTTAACGATACAGATGAGACATGTAAAACTATACTTATTGGCCGATTTGAAGATGAAGATTTAAAATCTAAACTTAGAGAGGCAGGTTTCATATTAATGGAACAATCTGGTGCTGGAAACAAATCATTAAACGTGGCCTTAGGTATGGCTGCTGCTTATGTACTTTCCAAAAATTCTACTTACAAATGGGATACGTGTGCTCCGCAAGCTATATTACGAGCTTTAGGTGGGGGTATAGTAGATTATCAGAAATTTGTCAAGTGTAAAGTTTTGGATGATTTAGATGTAAAATATGTTACTACTAGTGATAACGCAGCAAATAGCGGTGGAATAATAGCATATCGTAATATCGAAATGTTACTTACCTTGAAACAAATTCTATTTTAAATGAAATCTTATTAAATATGAAAATTAGCAAAGATTTGTTTCTTTACATATCTTATTGTTATGCATTCAGAGTCTATATGTATACTTATTCTTTTATCAATGAACTCGGATAAATGTTTCATTCATTAAATGTTTCAATTAAACGTTGAAATTATTTATGCATCGTTTAAAATGAATAAAATATAAATGTATGTGAACTAAGAGATGTGTATATTTTTAATACGTCTAATTATTTTCTAATCTGTTATTTAATTAAGAGACTATTGTTTATAGCAAAGGTCGTTTTATTGACTTATAATAATATACGTACATCTTCGTACATGCATAGATGCACACAGAATAAAACAACAACAATCAGTGAAGGAAACACAGATATACACGGACAAGATATCGAAGTTCATTGCATCTGATTTGTTTCTTTATTTTTTACACTTTTGTTTTTAATTTATATTATTTTTTATCATTATATCGTGTTTTGCGTGATTCGAAAATGTTAAGAGAAAACATGAGAACAAGAATTTCCTTAAATGGCAACTTCTAGAAATATTGTTCGCTTAATTTGTTCGAAATATGAAAGTAAACATATATACATAATGTACAAGAAGGAACTTGATACGAAAGAGCAAACACTCGAAGTAATCTCATTTTCTTTTTTAATCAATTAGCGTGTCGTAAAATAATTAAAACGAAATTTTCTTAGTAGTTACGATCCAAAATAATCTTAATCTTTCAATTATTTTTGTTAAAAATATATTAGAACAGACTTTGTGACTAGTTACTAGATTACACAAATTCGTATTTCCTGGTAAACCTTTTGTTTCCTGCCTAAAGCGTTCAAACTTTGAAAGAAAAGTTTCTTTTTATCTTTTCTTTTGTTATTGTTTTTTTTTTCTTTTTTTTTTTTTATATCTGTTCTTCTAAATGAGAATGGAGTTTTATGACTTGTTGAGATTGTGGGATGTTCATTCGCAAAGATTCGTTGTTTTGTAAGCTAATATTTCTCGCAGGTATTCCTTGACTTCCATTGGTTTTATGTCTTACACTGACGTAAGTCGTGCACGTGTTTTTTCGCTGTAATACGAATTGACCAGATCCATCGACATCTGAAAATAAATCAAATAAAGAGAAGTAGTTCTGAATTTCTAAGCAGGGGTTTTCTTTTATTTTGTTGTTCTAATTTTTCTTACCCGTCATAGGCATACCGACCATACTAGTATTGTATCTATGAGTTTCTCGATTAGGTAGCAAGTTACGCAAATATGGTAAACGTCCGAATGCAGTAATAAAGCCTGCACGAAATCTAACATTCATCCAACAATAAATCACTGGGTTGTAACAGGAATGTGACATCGAAAGCCAATGAAGGGCTGCCCATACGAAAGGAAGACCCGACCAGTTGTAGAGACTTTTATCAAAGTCTAACGCTATCTGACAGTTGAATTTAAACGAACAATTAGAAATATTTTCTCCTAATTCAAATCTATTGTAATAACAAGAAAATTTGTCTTTGTTTTATAAAAAGATAGCACGCGCGCGCGCGTGTGTGCATTAATAACTTATAAGTTTTATTTGTAAAGTTGGTCAATATCTTTGTAACGAGAAACTTCGAAGGGAGAAGAAGAAAAAAAGAAATGAAAAGGGTCTTCTTGGGTTATAAGCGAGCAGCAATAAAAAAACTTTACGTTTTTACTCATAATTAGAAGGAAGTCTTATAAGTATTATAAATTATAATATAAAAGATAAAGTATAGCTTTATCATTTTTTTGCGTGATAAATTTTAAACAAATTCAAATTTTCATTTAGAATAGTTTGGATTAACTTACGTAGAAAACATTAAAAGGTAACCAGCACATGGTGAAGACTAATACCACAGTAATCATCATTTTCACCATCTGTAACAGAGAAAGTTGGTCAAAAGTTGGTGATACTCGATCAATCAAAAAATGATTTTTCAATCGATTTTAAGTTGAAGTAACTCTTTAAAAGTCCTTAGTAACTTTGCTTTTGATTGTAGGCAAGTTTAGCGATTAAAATTAAAGCGAATAGATAGTCGGATTTTAATTGAAAGCTCGATCTGTCGAATTCGTATGAGAGAGAGAGAGAGAGAGCTTTTAATGGAATACAGTTTCAAAGGGTTTACGAGAGACAAGAACTGCCAATTCGAAGGAGTCATTTTCGAGTGATTAGAATCGATCAAATTAGAATGTCTTTGCCTTTTCGGTAAAGTGGAGCGAGTTCAAGACAATTATTGTGACGCGATAATGACGGAATAATGACTTGTATTTAATCGATATCGCTGTCAATTACGTTAGTTCGTGATAAAGACTCAAAACGATTATGCTAATTTCAAATAAAGTGATATTACTTATCGAATATTACTTATCGTCTGATAACAGTTTTTTGATATGTCGATAAAAGATTATTTCAATTTTTATATATATAATATATAAATTAAGTGTCACGTTGTTTGTGCGCAATGTACTCCTAAACTACTGAACCGATTTAAATAAAATTTTTCACACTGTATGCAGTTTCATCTAACTTGAACGATAGGATAGTTTATATCTCAATTTATAATCGCAATTATTTGTTTATTAACAAAGAGTCGCGATTATATATATATATATATATATATAAATGTCTTTTCGTTTAACATGAACAAAATACTCGTTTCAATCTTTGAAAAATCATGACAAATATCTTATTCAAATATTTCATTTTAGAATAAAATTTTGTATAAAACATTGATCGTATCCTAATGCTTGTAGTTCTTTTTTTTTTTATTGTTTGTCGTCTTACTGAGGGAAATATTCTCATATAAGTTCATGGAAAATCCCATGAGGATGTTTTCCTTTTGACGTCGTCGTTCACGCAACATCAAATGTGAAAGAAGAAAGTGAATTTCTTTCTCTCTCTCTCTCTCTCTCTCTCTCTCTTTTCATAGCATGTGGGAGTGGAGTGAGAATGATAGATATATTGTAGGATTTAGATCCTACACTAGTGTATTACGTATAATACATACACGTTGTACATGTTACATAATAATATAATAAAAGGAAAAAGAAGAAAAAGAAATAAAAATGCTTAAGACAGTTTGTCAAAAGACAAATATACTTTGATTTAAAATTATCGATCAAATTTGAAGAAAATATATTTCTCTTTTCTAATCATCAGAAAAATAATTATCAAGGAATTATTTATTGACTTTACATCGCATACATTTTAGGTCCTTGATGTAGAGTAATATGATTGATGTCTCAAAGAACTCGATGTGAAAATGATGTAGTAAAAAAGAAGAGAGAGAAAGGATAATTTCGATTAATCTCAACTCGATATTGGTCTACACCTCGAGGAAGAAGAAAATGAGAAGTGATCGAGAATAGCTAGGGAAAGGAATAGAAACGCGATTGATAAAGGACCTTTGTTGTTAAAGGATCTCAATGGCTGACAACATAGTTTGCCAACGATTTTCGATAAGGTCGAGTTTTATCACTTTATCTACGTAATCTCGACTTATTTTCTCTTTTTTTTTTTTTTTCTATTTCTTTCTCGTTTAAATTTGATTCATATGGGATTTCAATTATACTTTGCGATCATTCGATATTGTCGCGCGTTATTATTTTCATTACTTTTATTTGATGTTTATTTATTTGATATTATCATTATTAAAAGGGATTTTATTACTGAAGATAATAAGAAATTGTACAATCTTGTACGTTTCGGACAATTGTTTCAATCGTTTTTTCTTGTTTAGAAAAGCTATTTTCTCTTGACAAGATTTCTTGTTTCGTAAGAAAATCCGTAAAGGAACATGGGTTCTTAGATTCGTTCAAAAAGATATTACATCGTATCAAAACCAGATCCAATTTATATTTCTTGTTATCGAGGATCTTCGTACTTAGGGATTTAATAAAGTAGAATCTGTTGGATTATTTGCTTTTATCACGCGAGATCACGAAAATGTTAAAAGAGAGAACGAATGACTTTTCTTTTTAAAATAAAATAAAGTATGAAATCCGAAGGAAAGATATAATAAAAGGATATACCAAAATAGAGGAAAAGAAGGTAATGTTATTCACTCACGAATCTTATCTTTATTATAATAAATGACTATATTGTTCACGTTTGCTTTTTAAACATAAGTCTGATAATGTTATATTTCTCGAGAATCATCATTTTTTTATTTTTATTTTATATATATATTTTTTCTCCTTTTGTTTATTTTTGCCAACTACTAATCAAAACACGCAAACTATGGGAACCAACTTTGTGTCTCTCTTTATCTTTATATCTTTCATGTTTTCAAAAATGAAAACAATATTATAACAGGAAATGAGATGTCACGTTTATTATCAACATAGCGTATCAAAGACATGTTTATTATGGTTACAATACAAGCAAATCAAGCAAAAATTATTTTGTTTCATTTTTATAAATAGGAATGTAACTTGTTCGAATAATTCAGACTTTCTTATATACTTTTTGAAGAGTGCTTTTAGATATAGGTTTCTTGCTGATAATTTAAAACTTAAAGACTAATTAAATGATACGAGTAATTGTTTACGAAATTTAGACTATTATTTTTTTTTGTCACACCAGTTTTGATTAGCTTAGCACAAATGTTCTCTTTCTGTTACTTTTTATATATAAAGATAATATGTTAACTAGTGTAATTATCATTCATTAGAATATTTAAGTATGTTTGACTATTTACTATGTGCGAAATACTTCATGGTTCGTTTATCCAACGATAAGAAATGAGTTCATCGCCAAATTTATTTTTAAGTGTTTTCCAGTTTTGATTCAAGGCTTATAAATTTGTTGATAATGTTTATTTATGGCTATTCAAGTTAATGGCTACTATACATAAAGAAGATGTCATAGTTTGAACATAATTTATTATTTTTGAAAACGATAATGCGATAACACCAGTATAAATTTCCAATAATTAGAGGTATCATTATTATATAGGACTGATCAAAGAATCGGAGTGTAGTTTTGGTGGTTTGTTCTCAGCGTTACACCTTCAGAATTACATAACATCATGATTAGATTCTCTCGTTACGTTTTTCTTGTCATTTGGATAAGTTTATTTTTTTCTTGTAAGTATTCCTTCCTTACGTGGTGTACGTCTAACATAGAATAATATTATTTTCAAATGAATCTTTCGACGTATATATGAATAGAGAATTTTTCTACTAAGGGTAAAATAAATATGGAAATTCATTCTGTAATTCGTTATTAGTTGTTATTCGTTAATTTTCTTTGACATTTTGCAGATGCTAAAGGCCTGAGGGAGGATGAAAAATCATTACATCTTGATACCATATTTATACGTTATTACAAGTAATTATTTACAAAGAATATATAATATATTATTTATCGTATGACCATTGCCTGAGAACTAATTGAAATTTTCATTTTTCAGTCATTCGCTTGTGGATTATGTGGACGAGAAGTTGAATAATATTGAATTGCTTGTTTCGAAAATGGATCCAAATAAGCCAACGGTACTTTATATTCACGGCTATAAAGAGTACGTTGACTTAGAGAGCGTGTCTACGATAGTGTGCGGTAATTAATTCTAATTTTTCAATCAAACATACAATTACAAAGAAAAAATCGCACAAACCCTTTCTTCCGTTAATCTTCCGTCCATTGAAATATTTCCCACAGACATTTTGTTTATTATTTCTTTTATCGTTAGTTGAAGAAAATCTAAAGGAGTAGCAGTTATATAAATATAATCGACAAAATCCAATTGTTGCAGCATATTTACAACGTAACGATCACAACGTCCTGGCTCTCGACTATAGGAATATCAGTAGATTGAATTACTTCGAGGTTTCTTGGAGCGTTACATATGTGGCACATGCACTAGCTTCGGCTCTCAACAAAATGGTTGTAGCTGGTTTAAATCCTAATAAACTTCATATTATTGGTCACTCTATGGGAGGCCAAGTAGCCGGACATTTAAAGGAAGTGGCACATTTTCAAATACCGAGAATCACAGGTATGATGTTTTTTTAATTAAACGCTTTATTTATATCGAACAATCGATTATTATTTCGTAGGATTAGATCCCGCGGGTCCCTTATTCAATATTATCAAATCTCGACTCACTTCGGCCGACGCTCAATTCGTAGATATTATTCATACGGATAGTGGATTTTATGGGAATTCCAGGACTACAGGGAATGTTGATTTCTTCCCGAATGGGGGCCAACGTTTGCAGCCAGGATGTAAAATAAAACCATTTTTAAGTGTAGCTGGTTAGTACATTCGTTTGTTTAAATACTACGAAGAAACGTCGATGATGATCTTTGACACACATCGTTTAGAGAATTGCCTCACAGATTTGAATAAAAGTTCCAAAAAAAATGGAGCTTAATTGTCTTTCTTGTCTTATTCTATTATATCATTTATCTATTCATTTTTCAACAACTTTTTCTTTCACCCACGAATCTTGCATCTCTCTCTCTCTCTCTATGCAAACGTTTTAACATACATGTATTTCATTTATAATTATCAAATTGTTAACAAAGAGATTGATTAATCTTTGTATTTTTTTGGTTATATCTTTCAGATTTCTGCAGTCATTTTATGTCATGGAAATTTTATGCAATATCTCTACTCGATGAGAATTTATTGACAGCGGTCAAATGTTCTTCCTATTTAAAATTTCTCTCAGGAAAGTGCAACGGAAACATGAAAATTCCAATGGGATATGCAACGCCAACTGACGCGTTAGTTTTTTTTATTATCTTGAAAAGACAAATTGAGTTTAACGCGACTTTAACTTAGTTCCGAGACCGATTTCAATTTGCAATCAAAGACATTTCTCTCTTTCGCTGTTTCAGTACTGGAACCTTTTATCTTAAGACTAGTACCGATACTCTGTCTGCATTAAATGTACTTAAAAAGTGCTTGGCTCCAGCGGTAAAATACCGTCCCACTGATTACATTACTATCTTTTAACATCATACATCATCACGGATATGCGTCTACACATGAGAGAATATACTTACAGTAAGTACGATAAACACAGAATTGTTTTGAATAAAATTTCTATTTATCAAGACTTAACTGAAAAACATATATTCTTCCATTTATTTTCCTATTCCTGCTTTCTAATCGTTCTTAGAATCCTCCTTTTTAAATCCTCAGATTGTAACTGAATACTATTGACGTTCAAATTTGGATAAATTATGAAGCACTTGCGTTTATTCTCGGTCCAACGACTATGGTGATTCATTGAAATGGTCCGATTGAATTTAATTAAAAAATTGTCCTATACTTTGTCGTTAACCAACCATGAGAGAGGCCATCTGTTACACCCTTAGCCTCTTCTTACTAATTTAAACGTTTATCTAAAGACAATTATTTGCGTATATCCAATAATCCTGTGTTTCACGATAAATAACAAGGGTACGAACTTCCATTAAATCGAGTTGAATATTTTTCATAAATATTTAATAGGCTGCAAATTTATTTATAGCACCGATTAATTAGAATTAATTAATATGTCGCTTCACTTAACTCAACAATTTGAATATCTTTTTTGACAAGTATTATATAATGATGGAATCCTGACTTATACTATTATATAATATTGTTAATAAAAATGGAAATTAAGATAAAATAAGATAAAATAAGATAATAAAGTATGTACCTTTCTTTTCGATCGTGCCATTCTTTGATCCCTCGTATTCTCGGCCTCCCCTGGTGGTCTCTTACCCCATACGATTATGGCGATGCTAGTGTAAGTGAATAAAAGTACCATAAGTGGCACCAAATACTGCACTACCAACAGGGAGATTGTATAATAGTATCTGAAAAGAAAAGCTCTGTTTATTTAGATCATTAATTATCATGAATTATGCGTTTGGAAAATATTCAAATAATTTGAAGTCAAGAGAAAAAAGAATGATTGCAATGACTTATAATTGTTAGATTTTTAATCGCTGAAAAAATTACATTTCATCGAAGTTCAAGAAGTACGAAAGTTTACTTTCACCTGTCCCTTTCCGACGTCCAGTTTTCTTGGCAGATGAATCTATTGCATTTGACATAACGATCTGTTTCATTAACAGGTTGTACAAGTTCCGATACCACGGCAATCGGAAAAGAAACCGTCAATGCCAGTAACCAGACACCCAGTATCAAGAACGTTGCTTGCTTTTTACTCATGCGTGGTTTAAATGGCCACATTATAGCAATGTAACGATCTATGCTGATAGCGATTAAAGTGTATGCGCTTACCAGCACGGAAACAGCCTGTTTTATATATGAATATTAATATATCATATTTTGTAAATTTTATGACTCTATATAATAATATTAAAAAAAAAAACATATGACGAAAATTCGGGATTATCAAGACAATAAAGAAAATACTCGCCTGTGAATAATTAACGATTGGACAGAGCGTCCAACCAAAGGACCAATATTGAAGAATTAAAATACTGACAAAGGTTGTTGGGACACAGAAAAGTGATATCAAGATGTCACTGATCGCCAGATTAACAATGAAGTAATTGGTAACTGTATGCATCCTTGGACTACTGCAAACGACGTAACAGACCAATCCATTTCCTATTAGAGCAACTATGAAAACCGTAAAGTAAAGAAAGTAGATGGTTGCTTGAAACCATCTTGACGAGAGGATAAAGTCTTTGCTGATGAATTCATCACATATTGAATCATTCCAAGATATGTTGAGGTATTCGTTCCCTTCTATAATACTCAACGAATAATCTTCCATGGTTTCGTTAATCTTCATGATGTTAAGCGTATTCTGCTTGCCATTATAATCTGCAAGTACAAATTTTATACGTGTCATTTGATATGAAATAATTATCAGGTGGGAGTTGCCGCAATCTTATTGCTAAAAAAGAAAACGTTTTACAACTTTTTGTCTAATTATTTGTTGGATTATGCAATTGAATTATTGTGTTTTAATAATCGGTTCTATTGTTAGGTATTGTTAAATAATTCGTCTATTGTTTCTTCCATCCAATGTATAAGTAATCGAGTTTATAATCGTCTTAAATCTAACTTCAAGGCACGTCGATCTAATTAAAATTGCAATTTTCAAATAAGAATAAATAACGCGTTGTTAATGCTTTATCGGAAAGCTTTATGATAGACACAAAAAACCTATCGTGTAAATTAACGTTAAAACAACTTGCTTGAGATTTTGCTATTCTGGACGAAAAGAAATTTACGCTCATTATGAATTTTCCTATTATCAGTTCGAAAGTGTAACTTAATAGGCTTATTATTTAACCAAACATGAGAACTTTGACATATCGTACGGTTAATAAGACGCGCGTGAATCAATAGGAAATAATTTGATTCAGAAATTAGCTTTCAAAGTGCATACCACCGCGTGTCAATCAAATCAAAGGAAAATAATTCTAATACAAATGCAATTTTAAATTTCATATAGAATTGTGCAATCGTACAAATAATATTCAACAACAAAATAATCAAATCGAATTAACAAGTATCTTTCGATGGAAAAAAAAAAAAAAGGAAAACGGTGTATTCCAATCAATGACAGACTATTATTACTTTTTTTTTTTATCTTTTCTTCGAGATAAAACCATATTTATTAATGAACTTATATCGTTTCTCATTTGATCTTGTCACGTTGACATTTATCGGAAATTACATTTTTCAAAGGTGAGAAAGTTGAGGCAAGAAATAACAAAAGGAAAACAAAATCCAAGAAAATTTTCAAACGATAGTAATCGATCTTCCATGATAATTATACTTGCAATCGTCGATATAAATATTAACATATCAAATAGAAAAGAGAGAGAGAGAAAAGTTTCAAGGAAATTTATTCATTTATAACTTATTTCTATTTGTCGGATAAAATGATGAGATTTTTTTTGTTGATTTCGCAGGATATTATTTCCTGGCATTTAACTCGGCTTTTGAAAAGTTTTTTAAACTCTAGGTAGATGGTGTATATATATAAGTCGTAAAGTTCTCGAAAATAATCATAACGATAGAACAGATACGTATATACTCAACTAATAATAAATACTCAGTATTTATTAACTAGAATATTTTCGTATGATTTCAAGTGTAAAGTGAAAATTCTACATTCGAACATATGTATAAATATCTACATTTTACTTTAAAGCTGACATTCTCCGAAGGAATTATTATTAAATGTAATAAATGTTCAGAACGTTATATCGTTTTTTAGTTTTTATCGACATTTTCTAACCAGTGTTATGGAATAAATTTTTGAAATAATGAAACTTTGACGAAATTACTGTTCGTTGTTTAAGTTAAGTTTAACTGTGGCTAATTATTCTCTCTTAAAAGGAACTATAAATTATAAATTATGTACCCACAGTTAGATGAAAATAACACAGAACGTGTATATGAATCTTTCTTCGACTTATTACTCACTTTATCTTAATGATCTTTGTTGTAATTGTTTTAAAACATTTGATGTAGTACAAGAGAGAGAAAGAGAGAGAGAGAAAATGATTATTCCTGGAACGGAAATCCATTGGTTATTGTCAAGCAAATGTCGGAAGGAAAGTTTTCTATCGCTAAAACGTTCATAATTCTAATATCTCCCTAAAGTTACTCGTAAATAAGCTATCTCCTGTTTGATCGTCATACTCGAAATGATCTCTTGCTCATTTCCATGTTGCCTTTAGGATTTATCGTCTGCGAAGTGACATGGTTTTGTTTGATATCTCTTTCGCCCTTCTTTCACAAATACACATTTTCTTTTCTTTTATTTAGTTTCGTTTCCTAATGGAAAACGATACCGATAACTTTGGACGTTCTTCATCGAAAGAAATGTCGGCTTTGCTTATTTCTAGAAATTCGAATGACAAAGCTTTTCTAAGAGCTTTCAAGTATAACGTACGCTTGATGGAGCTTCGACTAAACGCATAAAACATTATCGACGTTTGCGTAAACACAAAGCCTGAGAAACAATGAGCTTGTCTCTATTTAATCCTTCAACGATGATAAATCGATCTATTTTGCAGTTTCCAAGTCAATTTCTCTCGTTAACCTTTGTCCGCTTATTCATAGCATTTCTTCTGCAATGCTACTTAAAAACTATATTCCTTGATAACAAGTGAAAGAGATAAACATTGTTTATGCACTGTCCTGTGTTTTATATAATGATTGCATTTAAAAGAACTATGGACGGGATATTTGTCACTAAAATAGCTGGCTCCATTTTATGTGTCCACTCGGTTTCATAATCCATAAAATACTCTCTTTGTCATATGCATACACAGCCTTCTATTATAGTACACACTTACATATATACAGCTTTTGTAGATATATTTTCATTATTTTACTGTGTCATACGATTTTTCCACAAATTCCACAACTACATTTCATTCATTTCTTTGACTGCGTTGAATTTAATTAACGTTTGTAAATGATAATTGTATCTAATATGGAACATTTGATTTTAAAAGCTTCCTAAACAAATAGATTTTATTTTCTATTATAAAGAGTAATAATGAATTCAGTGATAAAACATGACAAGATAAATTTTCTTATGTTAATAGTTAACTTCCTTAAAATGTAACAAGGCTCTCAAAGTTACGGTCCAAAATGTCAAGTTGAAAATAACTTTGGGGTTGTTTGCTTGTCAAAATATTGCGAGACCTCGATATTAAGTAAACTCCATCCTATAGGCTTACAAATTATCATGCTCCTTCTTCTTTTTTTTTTTTCAGATAGGGAAAATAAACGAAGGGATGATTTTTTTATTTGGGTCAAGGTAAAAAAAAAAAAATGCAATAAAATCTAAGAGAGTATGTTTTTTTTTCGCTACGAGTTTCATGTAGTACCACCATATGTCTGAAAAGATATTTACTTTGACTACTTCTTTTTCTCGTCCCTTTTTCCTTTGCACACAAAACGCGTGAATACATGCACACATATACACGCATTTTCGTCTATCGCGTACCTTGCCACACATCCGATTATTTTTTCACCTTATTCGTTTTTTCCACTTCGGCAAATGTGTCGCGTGTGCATGAGTGACAGCGGTTTGTCCACTCTACTGTAAAGTCATTTTTTTTTTTTTTTTCATTTTTTTTTCTCTTCTTTCCCTTACCTCCCACTCTCTCTTTTTCTATTTCCCTTATATTTTCCATAACATGACACGTTATCATGACTCATCGCGATTAATTGATGCTTTAATGACCGGAATTTGATACAGTTCATCTATCTACAAAGTCTTATCTATGCATAACTGCACCTTAACATTTAGCTTTTACAATTTATGATCGATCAATCATTATACTCTAGTACCGACTAAAGAGTGGGGCTAATGGATATAATGGATATAATAAATAATCAAATTCGTCGAAATATTGGAGAATAAAGAAAATAGAATAAAAAAAAAAAAAAAAAAATAACAAGAAGTCATAAAATTCATGCATAATTCGATAGTTATCATTTACAAATAAGTATTGTAATGTATTTAAATCAATGTAAATTAGAATACAATGCGTGTACGCAGGCGATTTTAAGAATAATTACAATCAGGTTCGTTAGAATGATAACCGCTAATAATCATTACGATTCAAAGTCATTTATATCGACCGCAAATGTTAAAATTGCATTTAACACGGTGGTTGGTTAGATCGTTATTGAACGAGCCACTAATATGCCAAATAAATTTCATTTACAATATAATAATTTGATATATAAAATAGCACTTCTCATAGTTTCATCAAGTAATGCACGTTTCAAATGTTTGAAATATTTTCTATTCGAATATTGAAGAAACACTGATTGAAGAACATTGAATTTTTCTATCATCCATGAGATTAAATAGTATTTTTTGTTGAATAAGAAAATTCATTTGAATATTTGGCAAAAATTCTACTGACCTATTTCTGTCGTGCACCATTAATTACATAAGTTTCCGTAAGATGTAATTCGTATAAATAATTCTAGTAAGTTGCACTAGAGACTTGTAATTTAATTAATACCTTTTCCTTCATTTTGCATATGAAATGAATGATTTTTTTTCAAGTTCAAACAATTCTAAAGTATTTTCATTTGTTAAGATATATGATGAAGAAATCATTCATGAGATACTTGCATCAGTATTCATGTACAATGTTTACTAGCAACCAATCAACACTCACTGCAAAAGTGAAATGCGATTATTCCGAAGGTAAGCGCAACGTTTGAAGGGATAAAACGTAAAGAGCACTGATCAAGATTTATTGTGAATGAACGTCTGAATGTCTACGCTTGATAGAAGTACTTTAATTAATTAATTAGTCTTGCAAAGTTTAATCAAGCTACAAGTCTAGTCTCAATATCGTGTTGATATCCTTAAATTTATAGGAATCTTACAAATATATTGCATTTATAATTAGTTCTATTCTCATTCGAATAGTATGATCTTAAATAAAATAAATTCTTACATAGAGTAAGATATCTAAGTTTTCACGTTTCAAGAAAATATCCTCATTTTAATTTACATGCTAAATGATTTTCCTTCTTTTTCTTCTCGACAATTTTTAACGAATGACGTTCCATGTAAAACGATGGACGATGATTTAATGTTGAGTAGGTAAGTAGTAGGTAAATAGTTGAAAATGTTTAAAACACTTTTGAATCGAGTGCTTGTAATTACTTTGAGATTCATCTTTTTAAGCTTTAATGTTGCTTTCAATAAATGCCTCGAAAATGATATTACCCCAATTTGACTTTGACTCTGTTAAGGTTAAACTATTTTTTTTTTTTTTTTATTTAATTTTA